ATTTTACTTGGTAAGATTCTTGAAATAAGAAAAAAACTGAGTCATCCATCAATCCATTTTCTGTACACGCTTCTCCCTTTTCAGGGTTGCGTGGGTCACTGGTGCCCATATCCAGCAGTCACAATGGCAGATACTTTGACTTAATTTGAGTCAAATTTTCAGACTAACAAGACAAATAATCTTACATGTTCTGAAAACAAGATTATTATTCTTACACAATCAGTTCTTGTTTAGTAAATCAGTCTCAAAACTAGATCAAAAAGATTTTTTTGGCTGGATATAAGATTTTAAAACTTGGTTAAGTGGACATTTTTTGCAGTGAAAATGTGCTGACGTACATGTTCTCTAAGCTCAGCTGGCTGTGGCAGCCATCTTGAATGAGGCAGTTAAAAAGTTCATTCAGTGATTATTTTCTGAGAGTTTCTTTAAAATCTGCTCTGTTACTTGTGAGATATTTAAATAACAGTTGACAAACAAACATTATCTCTCTGCCTTCAACTTCATTGATGAGTGATAAAAAATGTTTCCCCGATTGGAACCACTGCTTTAGTTTACATTATTCAGACATATTGGTCCCACCTACTGCACTCCGTTAGAGCTTATAATCTGCAGCCCATCTGTCTGTCTGTTATTCAGGCTCACTGAATAATCCCACATATCTCCCTGTAGGAAGCTGAGCTGAAGTTTGTGACTCTGCTTCATCACACGAGCCAAAACTCTGAGATCCCGTAGCTTCTCCTTACATAACAGCCCATTAGAGTTCTGTGTGGGAACAGACCGGCTCAAATTAGCCTCCTAAATGCACCCCTCCCTTCTCCAACACGTTTAAAGTGTAAGACTGTGTAAGTGCATTAGCTTAATCCTTTCTACCCAGCATGCAGACACCCTGCAGCGTCTCAGCGAGTGCGTGCATGCACTGAGGAAGAAGGATGGAGATACACACACCGGTGTTCTCCTCTTACCTTTAGTCCAAGATGAAGATCCTGACCATGCTGAGCTTCAACATGCGTGTGTGGATGCTTGGGTTGCTTTATGCAGGTAATGTGTGGATTCAATGCTGGTGTAGAGATCAGGAATCTTTACATTTTACTAAAATGAACAATGTTTTGTAGCTGCTATACTATAGATGCATTATTTTTCCCTTTGAGTGAAGTTTCCTTTGAGTATCTTAACAAAAAATACTTGAAAATTTTGAATGGTGCCAGTGAATCCCAGTGTTATTTAATAATCTAAGCCAGGGGTTCCAAACATTGGGGTCAACATCAAGTTGTAAGTCTTAACATAAACATTTTAAATTGAAAGAGGATTAATAATTAATTTTTCCATAGTTGAAATAGTGAAATAAAATGTGTTATTGGTCAATTAAACCATACAATGATGGGTTTTGCCGTTATTTAACTGAATGGCCTAACTGTGAGAGTTACATACAGGGGTTAGACAATGAAACTGAAACACCTGTCATTATAGTGTGGGAGGTTTCATGGCTAAATTGGACCAGCCTGGTGGCCATTCTTCATCAAGTGCACATTGCACCAGTAAGAGCAGAGTGTGAAGGCTCAATTAGCAGAGTAAGAACACAGTTTTGCTCAAAATATTGCAATGCGCACAACATTATGGGTGACATAGCAGAGTTCAAAAGAGGACAAATTGCTGGCGCATCTGTGACCAACACAGCAAGTCTTTGTGATGTATCAAGAGCCACYGTATCCAGGGTAATGTCAGCATACCACCAAGAAGGACGAKCCACATCCAACAGGATTAACTGTGGACGCAAGAGGAAGCTGTCTGAAAGGAATGTTATYGWCTAAAACCAGGTGTTTCATTGTCCAACCCCTGTAGTTGAACCAGAGACCAAAGAGACCACAGTTTTCTGTTAGTCTGTTTCTCAGAAGCTGAAAAGTTTGGGAACCTTTGATCTGAGCTGATAACCCTTTGATTGTTCATCTTTATAAGAACCAAGATATAAAATCAAGACGTTAAATATGTTGCCAGTGGTTCATTAGGGTCACTGTAGTAACCTCACATCTGTGTCTCACTCTCTGATAGCACTCTAAATAAGACAGGCWGACAATGCAGCAATGTGGAGAAAATAGTTTGGTAAATTGGAAAAAATAATGTAAATAAACATACTTATCTAATTCTTTACTGCAAGTGGAAAATTCATCATCCATCCATCCACCCATCCATCATCCATCCATCCATTCATCCATCCATCTATCCATCCACCCATTCATCCATTCATTTATCCATCCATCCATCTATCCACCCACCCATTCATCTATTCATTTATCCATCCATCATCCATTCATCCACCATTTATCCATCCATCCATCCATCCATCCACCCATTCATCCATCCCTCCATTTATCCATTCATTCATCCATCCATCCATCCATCTTCCATCCATTCATCCATCCATCCATTTATCCATCCATCATCCATCATCCATTTATCTATCCATCCATCCATCCACCCACACATCCATCCATTTAGCCATCCATCATCCATCCATCCATCCATCCATCCATCCAACATCCATCCACCCACCCATTCATCCATCCATCCGCCCATCCATCCATTTGTCCATCCATCCATCCCTCCATCCCTCCCTCCATCCATCCATCCATCTTATACTTACTGTGAAGAAGCACCTCTAAAAGTCTACAACTGTATTACAGTAGATATAATAATCTTAAACACCCTGTTAAATTCCATGTTTTTGTGATGTAATAAAATAAGACCCAAAAATTTTTTTCAGACCTTTTTCCACGTTAAATGTGAGCTATAATCTGTAAAACTGAGTTGAAGGAAAAAAAAGAAATGTTTTATTGGGGAAACCCTCTTATAACTGAGGGTGTGGATGCTATTCAAACTCATATTCAAACTCATTAATAAAAAAAATATGTAAAAAATAATATATCTATATCATGTATCTGTCAAAGGGGTACAAATGCATTTCCAAGGCATTGGACATACTTTGGAACACTGAAGACGGTCATCATCAAGTAAAGAACAGTGACATTACCAAGAGGATGACCAATCAAAATTGATGAAAAGACAAGAAGTAAACTGGTCATAGAGGCTGCCAAGAGGTCRACAGCAACATTAAAGGAGCTACYGGAAGTAGTGGTTGCATAGTACACGACGCCACCACAATCTCCCGTATTTTTCAGATATCTGGGTTGTGCAGGGTTACATGACAGAAGACTGTTCTTACAAAAAAAATCAAAGCCCGACTTAATTTTGCAAAAACACATTTGAAGTCTCCCAAAGACACATGTGTCACGGTCTGATGAACTTTTTTACCATAATTCCATAAGGTTTGTTTGGCTCAAACCCAACACTGCACARCACCAGAAGACCACCATATCCACAGTGAAGCATAGTGGTGGCAGCATCATTCCTTAGGGCTGCTTTTCTTCAMCTGGGACTGGGGCCTTGGTCAAGGTGGAAGAAACTGTAAACAGTTCCAAAAATACCAGTCAATCCTGGCACAAAACCTTCAGGCTTCTGCTAGAAAGCTMAAGATAAAGAGAAGCTTGGTCTTTTAGAATGACAACGACCCAAAGCATTCATCCAAACCAACAAAAAATGTCTTCACAAGAAGATTAAGGTTTTGGAGTTCAAACCTGAATCCCATTTGTCTATAGGATGATCTGAGGAYGGCTGTGCACAAGAGATACTGTACTTGCAATCTGACAGATTTGGAGTGTTTTTGCAAAGAAGAGTGGGACAGTATTCCCAAATCAATATGTATCATGCTGGTAGACTCCTCCACAAAAAGACTGTGCTCRAAAAAA